GTTTGGCTGGGGTTGGGTTTGAACCCATCACCCTCGGTATATGGGGCCGGCGCCCTATTCACTGAGCCACAGGTACCGCCCAGAAGCCCACTTTGAGAGACATAGTCAAGAGCTCACAAATTTTATGTCCCCTGTGAGCTCCTCCTGTGGACTGTCCTAAACAATGACATTGAGCCTGAGATACAGCTGACCCTTGAGGTGGCACCCGGGCACTTCTCCTGGGGTACAAACCCTGGAGGGGTCATTGTAGATGCCCAGGAAATATTTCTTCAGCAAATGCATGATGGAGCAGACATTGGAAAGTGACTTTATGTCCACAACTAGTGTGATCACTGCCAGTCACAGGTGTCCCAGCAGACATGGATGGAGTCCATATTTTGACCGCTATTTGTCTTAAAAGAGGATTTAGAAGCCACAGGGTAGCAGGAACATGAAGGATGCTTCCCTCTTAGAGAGAGATGGAGAGCTGGCTACTGACAGAGGGGCTGTGATCAGGGAGCTTGTTGGCAGAGCGGAAGGTGAATTCTAGTTGGAAGGGGAGAGGGATGCTGGGTGAGAGCTGGCAAAGGTCAAGGAGGCCTAGGATGCCACAGCTGGCTTGAAACTTTTTCTTTTTAGTCAGGAGGAGTCACTGATGGTGTTCAAGGATGGGCCGTGGGCTCAGATCAGTCTTGAGAGAGTAGATGTGGGTCCATGTCCAGCTAAGTGGCCCAGACACAGCAGGGATGGTTGAAGGCAGAACCTGGGGACTGTGCCAGCAAGTCCTTGATTTGGCTTGGAGTGGAGGTGCCTGAGGTGGTGCCCTGGGGTTCAGGCAGGGAGTGGCCTGGGTGGCTTGAGAATGTGGCCCCAACCCACTTGGGGGCTCCATTGCCAGGGCCAGTTCCTACCCCTCCTCTTCCCTGCCCCTCTAGTGGGCTCAAGGTTGACCTTGAACATTCCTGCCCCACAGAACAAGAAAAAGAAGAAGACAGATTTCATTCCATATCGAGATTCCGTGCTGACCTGGCTTCTCCGGGAAAATCTGGGTGAGAATTCCTGGGTTCACCTGTCCCCAGGGGTATAACTTCCACCCTGGGTAGTCCCTATCTTCCCTTCCTGGGGTGGGGTGCCCAACCTCCAGGAGGCCTCTTACCCTTTCTGGGCCAAGGATGAGAGGTAGACTTGGAGAGTGTAAGTAGTTCAAGGCACTACCCTTCTCAAGGACCTGGGCAGTGGCTGGCAGTGGGTTATCAGAAGCAAGTCTGGTGCCCAGGAGGGCCTCTGGGGCTGAAGAACCCACAATGTGGGTGTCAGTGCTCCTGGGTCAGGTCAGCCCTGACACTGATACCCAATACCCAGCCTTCTCTAATCTTTGGTTTCCCCATCTGTAAGAGAGGACTGGAACGTTTATCTGGGAGCCCTGCCCACCTGCTGGGTTTTGAGGGGTTGCCATAAATCCCCTTCCTCCTCCTTGCCTGAGTTCTGAACAGTGAGGGATAGAAGGGAAGGTAGAGCTTGAAACACTCCTCACTGATCCCATCTCTCCCTTGAAACACTCCTCACTGATCCCATCTCTCCGAAAAATAGCTTCAGTGTCCTGTCCAGTCTCATTTACAGGCTGACCTTCTAGACATAGACTGGGCTCTCTGGCCTTCCTCAGTAGCATGGCTAAAGCCCATAGAGCCCCTGATGACCACCTATTCCCCATCAAGACCCAAAGCAGGCTTGCGGGTAGAAGGGGAACAGGTGGGAGCTGTTGGGGGGCAGGTGGACACTGCTAAGAGCAGAGGAATCTGTCTCTTCACCTGAGATGTGGGCTGGGGAGAAGGCCTCCCTTCAGGGCCATGCCCAGGCTTAGCCCCAGGGCAGGAGCGTGGCTTAGCCCCTAGTCCTTCACATCAGCACCTCCCAGTTCCTGTAGGGTCCCATCATCCCCACTGGTTTTCAGTTTCTCTCCAAACTCGGAGCACGGCCAAGCAGCAGTTCTGAGGGTGGGGCAGAGCCAGTGGTGACCTTGTCCTGGCTGCCGAGCCGCTGTCCCGACAGGACTCCCTACCCAGTGCTCGCTCCATGGGAAGCTGTGGGTGTAATCAGAGTCTGAGGAGAAATAAGTCTGCTTCCTTGGCAGCACATTACGTGATGCTGGAATCCAGGCTCTTTGAATGTAAATGTCATATTTCAAATGTAATGATGAAAGTATGAAAAATTATTGAACAGTCTTTGTCTTGGAGTAAATACCATAAAACCCTTTATAGCCTTCCCCTCTGTTATGAGGAAAAGGAGACCTGATTGCTGCAAATAGCCCCAAATGTGAGGAAAAATACCCATAGAAGAGGAGCAATGGGGTGACCAGTGCAGAGGTGAAGGGGCAGCCAGGTGGGGCCAGTCCTCGCTGTGGCCGGTGTTCACCTCTGTGGGCCTCCCTGTCTGTAAATGTGGAAGGGCTGGAGGGGTGGACACAGTGCAGGGGCCTAGAGTCCCTCCTAGGCACAACCTGGTCTTTCTCCTGCAGGCGGTAACTCCAGGACAGCTATGGTGGCAGCCCTGAGCCCCGCAGACATCAACTATGATGAGACCCTTAGCACGTTGAGGTGTGTTCTCCAGGGGGCAAGCTCTGCTCCCTCACCTGCCTTGGGGATGAATCCTCCCATGCCTGACTTGGGAACATCAGTGACAGGGGTGCCTCTTTTGGGGGGTTTCACCCGGGACTCTGTGATGCTGGAGGTGAGGGCTCCTAGGCCTGCATGGGCCCTGTTCCATGTCCACCAGCCTTTGGGGTGCACTTTGGAGCTGCAGGAGGCCCAGGGCCTGGGAGCACTGTGCTTGCGTGCCTGGATGGTACTCACACCTACAGGCTGTGGAAGGGGCACAGATGTGTCTTTAAAGGGCTTTCTGGCTACAGGAGGGTATATAGTTGTTTGGGTCAGGGGTCTTAGGCCTCTTTTGACCTTGTACCACTAGTAGTAAAAAGAAAAAAAGGGTGTGCACCTGATATAGATGCATGTAGTTGCCTGTGACAGACATGTTGCTATGGGCATCCGCTGATAAATGGAATGGGCTAGAACACACCTACACTTAGTTACTTGCTTCCTCCACGCTGGGACCACAGGTATAGGAAAAAGGACTCACTGTGGGAAGAGGATGCTACCCTGTCCCTTCTCCCATGGGCCTCTGTTTTCCCAAGTGGGTGACCTGGGGCTGGGTGACCCACTGGTAGGTCTCCTCTGGCCAGTGGCCCAGGGACCATCTCCAGTGACTTGTAGTGATGGTGACTCCTTAGTCTGCACCAGCCTGTGCTGGCCTAGGTCCACTCCAGGTCCACCCACAGCCCAGCTGCAGCAGGGCTCTGGCATCCCTGGGCCCACCAGGCACAGGCTTGCTCAGGCACTGCCCACAGCTCCTTTTGCTGCCCAGGTATGCTGACCGGGCCAAGCAGATCCGCTGTAACGCTGTCATCAATGAGGACCCCAACAACAAACTGATCCGTGAGCTGAAGGATGAGGTGACCCGGCTGCGGGACTTGCTGTACGCCCAGGGTCTTGGCGACATCACCGAAGGTGAGTGTCTGTGCCTGTCCTGGGCCTCAGGCTCAGGGGCTATTGGGCCATCTCGTTCTTTCTCCTGGGATCACCATCCCACTGGCTGCAGCCTGGACTGGGGTGGCTCCTAGCTGTCCCCACAGCCCCTCTGGCCTGGATTCCTGTCCCTGCTTCATGCTCCTGGGCAGAACTCCCAGTGGGTGGGAGGCTGGGGAAGGGTCCCTGGATGAGGCTGAGTTTCCTGGTCTTGGCCTGGATAGAGCTGGGTTTGGTGCAGGCCCAGGTGGGTCAGAGATGGCTTCCCTGGAAGCCCGTGGGCAGTTCATGGGTGCTGGCACTGCAGCGGCCCCTGGGTCCCCATGCTGGAGACCTCCACTGCCATGCCTGCAGCCACCCTCCTGCTCCTGGCTTCCCAGCCTCCACTCTCTGGGGACAAACCTATTCTTCTGTTTCTCTGTCTCTCCTCCTTTCCCACGCCTTCCCTCCTCCTTAGCCAACACTGTGCCCGGAGGACCCAAATGTGTGTATTCCCCTTCCTGCTCTTTGCATCTCTGCTTCTGGCCTGGCCAGCACGGGGGCCTTGGGCAGCACGTGTGGGGAGGGCCGGATCCCAGGGCCAGAGATATCAGCCCCTGCCCCTCTAGGGCCCTCCTGGTAGATGTGGGGCTGCATCTGCCTATGAGGCCTTGCCCCCAGCTCCTTCCCATCTTTGTGGTTTACATGGGAAACTGAGGCAGCAGGGAAGTCAGGCTGCTGCACAGGCCTTCTCAGGCTGAGAGTGGCCACAGTCAGGCCCGCTGACCCCGCTGGGTGCCCAGAACCCTAGGAAGGCCAGATGTCAGTGTCAAAGGGCCAGGAGGGCTGGAGGGCCTATTCAGGGTCTGGCTCTGACTCTTGGCTCAGGCCTTGCCTGCTGGGCGGTTTCTCCAGCCAACCCACACACCCAGGGCCCCTCCCTCTGGAAGTTCCCTGAGTCTGAGCACATGCAGCGGATGCTGCCATGTCCTGCAAGCCTTTGTGTCCCCTCTGCCTGGCTCCCTGGGGTTCTCTGCCTCCCTGGCCCTGGGCTTCAGGGTCCTTAGTTTCCCCCATGCCTATGTGGTCCTCTGCCTGCCGCTGCCCTGTTGTGTGTCTGCATCTGCTAGGAGGGGCCTTGCCCAGCCCCCTGCAAGGGGGTTGTAGCCCCAGCCCTCAGGCCTTGGGGGTGAGTGAGCCCTGGGCTGGGGTGAGTCCCAGGTGGCGGAGGTGTAGGGGGGTCCACTCCAGAGGGCCTTGGCTCACCTCTCCTTCAGGATGGTCTCTGGGCCAATTTCCCATTAGTGGGCTGAATGGTCAGCACAGCCCAGCCAGGGATACATAGTGGCCTCAGCCGAGGGTTAATGTGAGGGGCAGGTGGGCCCCTAGGAAGGATGAGGATGACCTGGGGGTCCTAGTGCAGGGCTGCTGAGAGCCATTGGCAGGCAGTGCAGAAAAGGCAGGGAAAGGCACTGGGTGGCCACACGTGAGCTGGAGGCCTGGCAGTGGGCCTGGGATAAAGCTGAGGGGCAGCAGAAGGTCCAGCAGGGCATGAGGAACACTAGGGTGCCAGGGGCCTACCTGTGCCAAGCTGCTGCCAGGGAGGGTGGGCCTGGGGGCCAAGCGGGCAAGGGCTGCTGGCCTGTCCTGTCCTGCCATAGATGAGGGCGGCAGAAAGGCCTTGCATGCGCTTGTGTTGGGCCATGGGCAGGGCCTTCTGCTTCTCCCCTCTCTTGGCACCATCATCTTGCTTTCTCCCAACTTTGTCTTTCTTTTCTCTCCCTCCTGTCTGTCTGCCCGTCCTTCCCTTCCTCCCCGTAGACATGTCCGACCTTGAGAACAATAACTGTAACCATGGCAGGGCAGCGTTGCATCAAGCCCCTGACAATCTTTCCACAGTGACCAATGCCCTGGTGGGCATGAGCCCCTCGTCCTCGCTCTCAGCTCTGTCCAGCCGTGCTGCCTCTGTGTCTAGCCTCCATGAGCGCATCTTGTTTGCCCCGGGCAGTGAGGAGGCTATCGAAAGGCTGAAGGTGAGGGCCAGGGCAGTTGGGGGAACCAAGCCTCCCCAAACAGGGTAGGCTCGGGAAAGTCAGAGAAGCCCACCCTTCTTCGGGGCACAGCTGTCCTCCTAGGGCCAACCTGAAGCAGTGGTGGGAGTTTCACGTGTGAGGCCTCCCAGGTGCACTGTGTCTGTCCCCAGCACACCTGGCATCACACTCTGTGTGGTGGCGAGGCAGCCCAATGCAGTCATTCTGGGGTTCCCAGGCTGTGGGCTGGACAAGATTGGGCAGAAAGGGACCCTGGGCCTCAGTGTCTGGACAGCCTGTGCCCACCACACTATGCCAAGCTTGAAAGGGGAAGTACTAAGTTGCATGGCCTGGTGTTGGTTCAAGGTGCAGCAGACCCTGGGGTGCCCCCGGGTGGTGAGGAGTCTCACTCCTCCCGGCCCCACAGTGCCTCCTTTGCCAGCGTCATTACTAGATCCCTGCAGCTCTCTGCCCATCATCCCACAGAGCCTCTACCCTCTGAGAAGGGTGCGGAGGTGTCCTGCAGGCTGCAGAGGCCCTCTAGGCCATCCCATGGTCACCCCTGGGTGTGGATGGTCACCCCTATACCCAGGCTGTACTCCCTGGTTCCCAGCAATGGGCTCGACTGGTTTTAGGTTTTCCATTAACACATCCCTCCAGCAAAGGGCTGTGCAGGGATAAGGGGTGCAGGCGTGTGAGCCTGAGGGGCCAAAGCACAGAGGCCTGGCTTGAGGCTGGTGTGAGGATGAGGTGGGGTTGGGCTGTGAGCCTGAGGCTTAGGGTCCACCTGGGGTGGAGGGGGCTTTTTTGGGATATGGTGGGCCATTTAGGGTTTGATGGCCCTCCTTGGGTGTGGGGGTCCACTTGAGATATGGGAGTTCACTTGAGGCGTGTGGATCCTTCCTAGGGTGTAAGGATTCACATGAGGTGTAGAGGGGACCTTCCTGGAGTGTGGGGAGCCTTCCTGGGGGTATGTGGGCCACTTGGGCCATGGGGAGCCCCCGTGGGACTTGGGGGCCCATTGGGTGTGGAAGGAAGGAAGAGGAGAGCCCACAATGATGCTGGGGAACATCACTGTCTGGAGGAGGGACGGGAGCCCCTCTCAGCAGCTGAGAGCCGACTCATTCCAGGTGTATTTGCTCTGAGTTTCCCTCCAGGTCCGTTTTGCCTTTTCTTAGGTCTCTTGTGTGTTTATGGGAAAGATATGTGTTCTCTGAACTTCACCTGGGTCCTCCAGGCCTCTCGTCTGGAATGTGGGCTTTCGTGCTTGCCCTTCTCTTGGCGCTATGCCCCCCATAGCCCCACCTCTGCCCCCAGCCCTGGAGCTCACTCTGCTCTGTCCCACCCCCCAGGAGACAGAGAAAATCATAGCCGAGCTCAATGAGACCTGGGAGGAGAAACTACGGCGGACAGAAGCCATCCGGATGGAGAGGTAAGCTGGGGGGCACCGAGGCTAGGGAAGAGTACAGCAGGTCTATGGCCCAGCAGGACGAGCACTGAGCCCTGGCTTCAGCCCTGGGCTCCTGCACCCGGGTGGCCACATACCTCTATCCAGGGACTCCCCCCACTTGTGGCCAGTGGCCAAGGCCTGATAGACTTGATCTGTAACCGTGGTGCTGAGGGTCTGGTGCCATCAGTGGATGCCCTAACCCACTGACCAGATGGGTTGCTGCATTGGCACTGCCAGGGCCACAGTGGCCAGAGGCCTGTTGGCTCCCATCTGGTCAGTTGGTCTGTTGGGCAGGGGTGAGGCCAGTCTTAGAAACCTCATGGAGATGCTGACTACAGCTCTGTCCCCCCAGGGAAGCCCTGCTGGCTGAGATGGGAGTGGCCATGAGAGAGGATGGTGGCACTTTGGGTGTGTTCTCTCCCAAAAAGGTAGGAGCTGGTTCCAGTTTTGTGGTTCGGCCCTGACCTGGTCAGGCCAGATGATGCATGGTTCTTGGTGGAGGGGGAGTGTGGCAGAGTCTGGCTCAGATACTGGGGTGGCCACACTTACCCACAGGCAGACTCTTTCATGTGTAGGGATCTTGGCCCCACCTCCCCACAGGGGACGTCTCACTGGGACTCTCATGGGTGTCTTCACTGTCTGAGCTATGGACTGGGCCCCAAGGTTGGGGCAGGACTGGGAGGCCACACAGAGGCTAGAGACTGAGAAGCAGGTTCTGGACCTGCCCTAGAGCCTGTGTCCTGTGTGGGCAGGGGCCATGCAGCTGGGAGCCAGCTGCCCTTTTAGAGTTCAGCCAGAGTCAGGTCCAGCTGGTTCCAATAGGGACCCCTCTTCTCACATCAGGCCCAACTGGCTCACTGGACCCAGCCCTGGGACCCTCAAAAGAGGCATAGCCCCAAGATAGCTTCTTCCAAGTATTTGTCCTTACCTTCATTTAGTAGCTCAGGTGGAGTGAAACACAGGCAGGAGCCCTGGGTATGTGCAACCCTGGGTGTGTGCACCCTTGAGTGTGTGCAGGATGCCTGAGTGTGCATAGAAGGCCTGAGTTTCCACAGGAGACCCAGGTATGTGGAGGAGGCCTGAGTATGTACAGGAGGGCAAGGTATGTGGAGGAGGCCTGTATGTGCACAGGAGGCTGCCCAGGTGTGTGCAGGAGGCCTGGGTATGCACAGGAGGCCCAGGTA